TGAGGTTTCTCTCCAGTGTGAATTCTGAGATGTTGAATAAGGTGTGAGTGCCTGGTAAAGGCCTTGCCACATTCCTTACATTGGTGAGGTTTCTCTCCACTATGAATTCTGTAATGTCGAGTGAGGTCTGTGGGTCCTTTAAAGGCCTTGCCACATTCCTTACATTTGTAAGGTTTCTCTCCATTATGAATTCTGAGATGTCGAATAAGATTTGAGTACCTGGTAAAGGCCTTGCCACATTCCTTACATTTGTAAGGTTTCTCTCCAGTATGAATTCTGAGATGGCGAGTAAGGATTGAGTGCTGGGTAAAGGCCTTGCCACATTCCTTACATTTGTAAGGTTTCTCTCCAGTATGAATTCTGAGATGGCGAGTAAGGTTTGAGTGCTCGGTAAAGGTCTTGCCACATTCTTTACATTGGTGAGGTTTCTCTCCAGTGTGAATTCTGTGATGGTGAATAAGGACTGAGTGGTGGCTAAAGGCCTTGCCACATTCTTTACATTGGTAAGGTTTCTCTCCACTATGAATTCTGTGGTGTTGAGTAAGGTGTGAGTGCTGGCCAAAGACCTTGCCACATTCTCTACATTGGTAAGGTTTCTCTCCAGTATGAACTCTATGATGTCGAATAAGGTTTGAGTGCTGGCTAAAGGCCTTATCACAATATTTACATTGGTAAGGTTTCTCCCCAGTGTGAATTCTGAGATGTTGAGTAAGGGTTGAGCGCTGGCTAAAGGCCTTGCCACATTCTTTACATTGGTAAGGGGTCTCTCCAGTATGGATGCTCTGATGTCTAGGAAGGTAGGAGTGCCTCCTAAAAGCTTTGCCACATTGTTGACATTTGTGATGTCCCACTCTGATACGGATTTGCCTGTGTTTATTTAGTGATGAGTAGTCCTTAAAGGTTTTACCACATTCTTCACATTTGTACAATTTCGTTCCAGCATGCATTCGCTGATGTTGAGATAGTGCCGAGTGCCAATGAAAGACTATGCCACATTCCCTACAAGTGTACCTTTTCTCTCCAGATCGAATTGTCCTATGTGCATTTAGTCTTCGTGACTGACTCCACACACTTCCAGATTTATTACACATGTATGTGTTTTTTCCCACACAAATTGTCTGATGATCACCAACACTGGAGGACTCCTTCAGATCTTTCCCACATGCATTATATTTATGAAGATTTTCTTTTATAGGCATACTCGTCTGTATAATATGTTTAGATCTTTGAGACAAAATTTCCTTACCTTTATTACATTCAAAATGGTTATCTGGCAAATGAGTACATAGACATTTGTTAACAATTGAGCCCTGGTTAAATGTTTTCTCAGATGCAGTGCAAGGAACAATTCTATGTCCATTGAAAATACTCTCGTAGGTTTGTAGGGTTGACTTCTTTGTGATGTGCCCCTCAAATTGACACCCCTTAACAATTTCTTCTTGATTTTTAAATTTATGATTTTCAAAAACAGTTGTCTGAAAGGTCAATCCGATCCTATTTTCAAATTGGTTCAAATACTTATTTTCCACCTGAATGAGGTAACTTTCCAGATTTTCCAAATTTTCTTTCGACAAATAATTATGTTTGAATCTTTGACTTGAGTTTTTGGTGACGGAAACACACTGCTTTGTAGAAGTAGCTAACTTACAAGGGGGGGTTTTGCAAAATGCTTTATATCCTTCACCATATGGGTCAGTGAGATTCTTCCTATGGGAAGATGTCTCTGTTTGGAAATGTCTGTCATATGTTTGATGCCCTTCACTCTCCCCATCGTTGTCACAATCTATCATTAAGTGTAAATTCTCAAGGGTACTATGTTCACCCATTGACACTTTTTGGAGAGAAGGTTCTAAGTACGGCTTTGGCAGGAAATTCTGGGTGCATTGTGAAGATGCAGCTGAAAGATATCAAATAACAGAAAAGTAAAATCATCCCACTTACTACTCTCAG